AAGGACTACTAGCAATTGAGTCAGTCGTTGAAGGGGGAGAGGGAAGGAGGTATAGGAATGCACGGGGGCGATTGGCAAGCAGAAAGGCTTCGTCACGGGCTCACATACCACTCCATCGGGCGTGACGTGTTTGACCTTGAGGGTGCGTTTCAACGAATAGTCATCGTTAAGGATAGCTGTAGGAGAATAGAAATGTAGATTAGACCCACAGTGGGCGGGCGCAGACCGAGAGAGGACCGGTAGGAAGATGCGCTTCCGACGTGCAGACTCATGCCACAATAGCCCCGTCCCTCGGTGACAATGTCATGTCCGTAAAGCTGTCTGGATGAAGTAAAAGTACTTACTGTCCGCAGGTTTGTTAAAGTCCTTGAAAAAAGCCGGAGTAGTCTTGCTCATGGTAGCTAGCTGTCTGAAGATGCAAGCTTTGTGGAATAACGAAGCAAAGTAGGGATAAAGATTAAGCGTCTCTTTAAGGGTTCAGGTCAGGACGCTACATTTGATATTAATTTGTGTGTGACACATCAGGTACCGCGCGACATGCACGTATTCGAAATACATGACACGTGCTCTACGGACACAGGATGCACTCGTGGTAGGTTACTACAACCCTTGACACCCTCCGTGTATCGAGCTCCTGTCAAATACACTACATGTCCATGCCACGGCACCACTTCAATGCACACGGCTTTAAACAACCTGCAGAATGCGTTACATTTCCATTCGACGACCTGTAAGTGACATCGCGGTCCTAAAGCGGCGAGTTTTATGGCTTCAGAATACTCGAGCTGAAGGAGGGCACAAGGAGCAACCAGTGCGTCCAAACATGCGCGAGGCCTTACACGCGGCATCCGCACAAGCCACGCCCACCATCCAGTCATTATCCACTTACCCATGCCTTTCGTGGCATACCGTCCCCACTATGTGGTGCTTAACACCCCATTGGCCACATGGACGCATAGGTTTAGCTCGGAAGATCATTCCAGGCTGTGACGGCGGATTTGCTTTCGCGCAATTTTTCGGGAAAGGGTCGACCTCGAACGCCGCCATAAATGGCTCTTGTGTAGGGCGTGGAAAAAACCGAGGACGCGGGAATTGAAAATTGCGGCAACATGCTGTGAGGGCCCCAAAATGTGTTTTCTCTCGGCTGTGGAGAGATGTTCTCCAAGTAGCGCACCTTAGCCTCTTACTTTTCTCCTTCGACTCGTAACCCTCCACAGCTCCGATGGCCGCTGCCGAACCGGCACCACCGCTGTTTCCCTCTCAAAAAGAGCTAGAAACCTACTGTCAGAGCGCTGAAAATGCTGCGCGGAACGCTGGTGAGCTTATAATGGCTTCTCTTCGGGCCCGTCAATCCAGACCTTGTTTGGCCGTGGAGAGCAAAGGGGGGGTAGACTTGGTGACAGAAGTGGACAGGCTTTGCGAAAAAGAAATCACCCAAGCCCTTCGTGCAGAATACCCAACGCACGCTTTCATCGGGGAAGAATCCACATTCCTGTCCACTGGGGAGCTGTCGTCCTCCTCCGCCCCTTTTGGCCTGCCCGGCGAGTCAGCGCCCACTTGGATCATCGACCCCATAGACGGAACTACCAACTTCGTGCACGGTCACCCCTTCATCGCCGTCGCCATCGGCCTCAGCATCCATCAAGATGTGGTCCTGGGCGTCATCTACCTCCCTGTCTTGAACGAAATGTACCGGGCATGGCGAGGGGGTGGGGCCCGCTGCAACGACGGCCCCCTTTTGAAGGTGAGCGGGGCCCAAAGCATTCACGACGCCTTACTCGTGAACAACATCGGTTCCTGCCGCGAGCAGGAGTTCTTGCAACTGTCTTTCCACCGGCTTTACGCCCTCATGACCGCCAAGCTTCCCGGGCCGTTGCAAGGCCTGCGCATGTCCGGTTCGGCCTGTGTGAACCTCGCCCTGGTCGCAGGGGGGCGCCTGGACGCCTACGTGGAGGACGGGGTGGGCGGTGTGTGGGACGTCGCGGCGGGGAAAATATTGGTGGAGGAGGCGGGCGG